GAGTACGCCCTCCCCCTCTGCGCGTCAGGCGTACAATCATTTTATCACGAGGTCCTCTGCCCCCCCCCGCCTCGAATCTGAAAGAAACTGCTGTTTGGGTCACCCCCAACCGTCCTGAGTTCTTATCTTGCAGCCGCGGCGTTTTGTAGTTCCGTTCTTATCTGAATACGCATTGGTACACCATGAGGGCGGGTTCTTGTTCTTAATGCCACGTCGGAACTGAGCACCTGTTGATATGACCAAGTTCTTATATGTTGGATGGTTTGAGGCTCAAGTTCTAAACTCCTAAGTTCTTAAGTGGTGGCGCGTTCTGTATCTGCAAACTGAAGCGGTTCGCTGCCCCGTCAGCCCTTTCTGGGATGGGTGGATGCGAGCACGGCTTTCTCTGCATTGATGCGTCTAGCGTCCACCTTTTGGCTCCGTTCAAGCACAGATATGTAACGTGTCGGTTGAACAGAACGGGTACACAGAACCAGGTGTATCAGATGAGGGGATGCAGCACAGGCGCTCCCGGCAGCCGATGAAAACTAACGCACAAAGGTAAAACAGTATCTAGCGTGTCGGCTGAAGAGAGGGGTAAACAGGACCCGGTGTATCAAATGAGGGGATGCAGCACAGGCGCTTCCCGCGGCCGATGAAAACTCACGCAGAGGGGTAAAACAGTATCCAGCGTGTCGGCTGAAAAAAGGGGATACACAAGACCCGGTGTATCAAAAGTTGCAGACACCGGCGCAGGTAAGATTGTGCTGGCGTCAACATGAGGTGGAAATTGGGAGGGGAGGACACTGTTGTCGGTGACATTTCCGTTGTTGCTGCCGGTACGTGTGGGCCCATTTACGGGCAACCCACTCTGCCCAAGCAGCGTTACATCGTGACGGCGACCGAGCATCGGCCCCCAAAGCTGCCTAAATAATACCATCCGGGGTATCGACTGCCTGGTACTTCAAGGCGTGAAGGCGTTTCCAACCGTTGTAATAGAGTCGTTGCCAACGCCTAGGTCTGCATATTTTACGAATCGTCCCGTCTATAAACGCCCAACACCGATCAAGAGGCGCGCCGCACTCTTGTATCGCCTCGCAGAAGGAGTCAATCTTAGGAAGAATCGCGTCTACCTGCAGCTCATCCACGAGATGCCCCCACCGCTCGTAAATTGCCTCCACCGTCACGTTGAAAACTTCACACACAAGCGTCTCGCCCATCCCCCAAAATAAACGATCTCGAAGCAACGTGGTGGGAGCAGCCAGTCTCCATAGGGTGACTGCTAACCCCAGTCGTGCCGGGATACGCTGGCAGGAATACCCCCCCCTGCACGCAAGCGAACGTCGTAGACACGCGCATGGATGGAACGATTCATGGTGGGTTCTTTCGGTCATGACCCTGAGAGTTACAATGTTGGACGCCACCGCGATAAGTTTGAGGTCGTTTCGCACCGAAGATTTGACACAAGACTGCAAACCGACACAAAGTAGACTACTGTACGTGTTTAAGGGAGTAGGAGACGCGAAAAATTCGAATTGTATTCAAAAAAAGAAGGGGTCTGCACCAGCAGCAGATGAAGTTAAACAGCATGACCTCATCTACTGTTGTTCTAGAGGGGGTTATAACACCTACCTTTCCCAACACCCCTGCTATGCACGTTTCCTAGTGGTCGATTCTAATCCTGAACTTTGTTCGTATCCACTCGGCCTCCACAGGTCTCGCTGCCTCGCTGCTGCTGTGTATGTGATTTCTTGCTACAAGCAGCAAGAGGCCCTTGTGTTCTCACCTCCAGATTTCCAGTTCAGCTGGAAGCTCCAGCGCTGCCAAAAGCAGAAGGAAGTGAGGCTTCTCGAACCGAAACAGCTCCTTGAAGTCAAACCCACCCAGGACCTCAAAGAAGTCGTACCTCACCCCGTCTAGCACGGTCGGCCTAACGAGCTCCTCGTAAGCGCGCCATTTCAGCAACCAAAGCGCTCCCAGCACTAGGCACATATCCTCCTCGCCAAGCACACTGCATGCTAAGCAGAGCATGAGAATGCGCACGCATTCTGCATGCCGTGCATGGCCCAGCTTTGCTCTGTGTAGACGTGCCATCGTCCGTAGATCACGCGCCGGTGTGGACGAAGGTTCCACAACCGCTCCGTGTGTGACTTTGGAAGCAAGGGGGAGTAGGGGCTCCGTCTTGAAAACCGTTTTTGTTTTCTGAACAGGCACCGGTTTTGCCGTGTGCGCAACCGGGTTTTACGAACAGGCACTTCGCCCAACTGGAAATTGTCCAACCGGGTTTTACAACTGGATTTTATAGGGGAAACCCCGTTTTACCAGATGTATCACCTTGTGTGCGTGAGGTGGAAATGGGGAGGGGAGGACACTGTTGTACTGTAGGTGACATTTCCGTTGTTGCTGCTGGTAGATGTGTATCCATGTACCAGACGTATCCACCTTATTGAGGGATTCGCAGTGGCAAGGCGTCTCCAATCTGTATCAGTGTTTGTCTTGTAGAAGGGGAGAAGCCCCTATAATAAAAATAACTGTGTTTGTCTTGGAGGAAAGGAAGCCTCAGCAATGATACGTTCTCGATGCAGTAGATAGACGTGTTTTCCGCGAGCGTTGAATGAAAGAGGTTTTGTGTGTGGCGTACCACTCGTTGCAAAGAGCGAGGGAGATCATCGCACGACATGATGGCCCGCAGTTTTCTTCGAGTGAGGGATAGCAGCCATATCGACGTGTGCTGTATGGCGGTTGAGAATTGGAGTTTGTTTTTTCTGAGAGTCGAAGAGTCGCGTGAAAGCAGGCTGACGTTTGAATTTCTGAGAGTCGGAACAAGAGTTGAATGCGAGAAGGCTGATCATGCTTGATGTGTTTGGCAAAACAGTTGTCCCAGGATGAAAGCGTCAAACACCACCCACCCCGGGGGCGCCGTGACCCGCCGGAATCACGGGGGGAGGGAGGAAGTTAGGGGCTCAGATCATCGATAGATATTCGTCTAGCGGGGAGGGCAGTAGGAGTAAAATTGCAACAGACTTTTGTTTGGGCTTTGTGGGAGAAAAATAGTGGCCGCCGCTGCAGACTTTGGGCCTTTGTTGGGTACTAGGAAGGTGATATTGAAACATGGCGGGAAGGTTACCGGATCGATTACGTTGTCGGAGTCATCCTGTCTGCGACCTTATCTTGCTTTTTCGGAGTACCGTCCTTGGGAGGGAGGGGTTTTGACCCGGTGGCCAGGTTTCTCCTTAGGTTTTTATGGATTTGTTGTTTTGGCAGAAAAACCCGACTGGCGGTGGCGGAACCACGCATCCCACAGCAGTGGTTAGTTACTTTGGCGTAAAGAACCAGGGAGGATGTTCGTTTGAGTGCGTATGTAGTCGGATCTGTAGACGAGATGACTGTTTCAGGTGCCCTGCACGTAGGTGTGCGTTGGGTAGTACGACCAGAAAAATGATTGTGCGGAGCCCCCACGTCAGCTGTCGTTCAGCGTGGCACTCCTTGCTCTTTCCCCCCAACCGGGTGTAGAGAGAACAAGCATCTCAACATCAAGCACAACAGTCTCTACAAAGACAACAAGGGCATACCACTTAGGGTTGACGAGTAGTATGCATACTTTGTGCAAGCATGCGCAGCCATCCTACGATTCTTCTAAACAGCCAACGTCCCCCCGCCGAACTGGTTCTACAATCTTCGTCTTGACTACGGTGACGCGTCCCTTCGTGCGCTGCTCCCACTTGTCCCTACACGTCGTGGCCGCCCGCGATACTGGGTGAGGGGTAGGAGTTTGCAGCGGTCATACATTTGCCCGGCTACCCGAAGGTGGAATCGTGAGCCAGCCGCAGCTGAACGGTATTGGAATGCCGAGCGAAACCTTTCCCACCTCTTTGGTGTTCGTATGTAGGTTGGACATTGGTGCTGTTGCTACGGTGCCTACTGTTATAGAGGAGGGCTAATGGAGAAGCTTACGCTTCTCCTTGATCGCTGTGTTCAGTGAAGATGCACTTGTTGATTGGTTGCGGTGTTGACTTGATGTGATCTTGCTCCTCTGAACTGGATTCGAACGGAAACAGGGAGCTTTTTCACTCGTTTTGACTGCGGGTTTGATTGGTCATTTGGTGCGACCTCGCTCCTCCGCAAGGGATTCTCACGGAACTATACTGTATGCAGAGAGAGAACTTTTTGCATCGGTCCCGTACGCAACGGTGGTGGTAGGCCGTAAGTGTGTCGATGCTGATGAATTCTTCCTGAGTCCGTGAGAGCCAGATTACAACTTCGGTTTGTCCGTCGACGGCGTTGCCTGTCGGGAGCGGGGGTAGCCGCGGGTGGGAAGGACGGCTGGCTGAACTTGGTCATAATTATTGGGGAATGTGGAGCTCCCGCTGTTGCTATCCCAAGCGTCCATTGGGAGCGAAACAGCCGCTTCTGACATGTTTTGGTGACGCTACGGCTCACAGTACCCATCGTCAGACAAGGGTCTATTGCTCTCTGTTGGTGGAGAGCCAAGTCACCACCAAGACAGCAGCGAGGGGCACAACATGCCGACCTGCTTCCTGATACGTCACACCGACACGGGGTTGCGCGACCTAGGCGTGCATATTTAGTCCGGTGTCCGAACATAACTACCACGACCCTGCAACGCAAAAGCTGTCACGGAGCATGGCCAAACAAATTACGTCTCGGAGCGGGTGGGTGCAGTGACCGGCCATGCCCACTTATGCAAATGCACTGATGAAGTGATGGCTATCGCGCTCCTCGCCTGCTGACGCTTTCGGGTAAAACTCTTTGCGGGAGCAAGGAAGATGATGGTTAAGCGAACTGCCACCAAACACGAAATCTCTCCGCAGAGAAACAGAGTGTCGCCGCTGCAGACGCGCAACACCGTGGGATTCGGCACGCCTACTTGCCCAAGAGAGCGTAACGGTCTTGGGATATGGAAGCATATCTAAGTGCGAAACCGCCGAGCTTTGCATGCTTGGCCCCCAACCTGTTGGTCGCTGGTTTTCATAAAAGACAAAAAACATTAATTGAAGAACAGAAGAACAAAATCAGGCCCCTGCCTCCCGGTTATGCACAAAACTCCTATAGAGCGCATCAGGCGAAACGTAGTGGGTCTCCTCATTACAATTTTCACATTCACAGCTGACGACATCAGAAACGAGCATCATACCATTCCCACACTACCTCCTGCCACGGGGGAGCGTTCTCCGGCATACCATTCCCGTCAGTCACAACTCCCCGATGATCCACCTCTCTCCAACCGTCGGTGCCGTGGAACTCGCAAATGGCGCTCAAGGCGTCACTCCTCGCGTCGTCCAAGGCAGCCCCACCGTCCGCACAACCACTTCCGCCAGTCTTAGAGGTGCTGGTGGCTGAGGTGGCCATACCAGATCCAAGCACCAGAGTCTCGACGGCGTGACTCTCTAGTCGAAGCGTGCTGGACGTTTCACTCAAGCACATTTGCGCGAATGCCTTCACCGGAAACCGAGGGTCCGGGGATGAACACGGAGAGTGTCTGTTTTCCTCCTTAATGACCCCGCGCTCAAGGTCATATCTAGGGCACGACAGGGGAGCGTTGTGCCATGGGGAGTGCTGATGAAACTCGGAAAAATAGCGCCTGTGGCGAAACGAAGCACCGGCCACGAGAAAAGGGCGACTGGCGTCTTGGGACCATGCGCAACGCGTGTTCGAAGCGTCTTCGGGACAGGAATGCCATTTGTTGCGCGTCTTCACTGTAGTGTGTGGACGGCGGCTTCAACAAAGAATCACGTTTTACTCCCTTGTGCAGGGCACCCCGCACATCCTCCAGAATTCCTCTAAGAGACAGTTACGTTCTCTAGAGATTTAACAGAATGGAAAAAAGAATGAATGAATAAATGAGTGAATAAATGAATGATCACGTTCAGCCCGCTCCAAGGCGCGAGGGATCAGAACCATCGGCTGTCCTGCACTACTTTAGACGCTCTCATCAAGGTTCAGCTTGATTGGGGCCTCCTGCGTTAATGTTTGGATGTGTCGCTGATCGGCCTTCTCAAGCACGAAACACGAGCATGCAGCAGGTGCTTCCCGCACCGAATTACTCCAATCTCGATCAACTTGAGCCTCAACGTTGCCTACCCTCCAACAACTTGAAGCCCCGTCCAATCTACAGCTGGATTGACAAGTCCTTCGACGCTGGAATAGCTGCGTGTCGACCAATTTTGCTTGCCAACGAGTGGTTCGGGCCACGCGGCTGTAACTTTGCGCGGAGATTGTTCCGCCGCATGTCGCTCGCACAGAACAAGTTGATGATTGATGACTCTCTCATTCCTCGTCGAACGCACCCATCCAAAATATGCATCCATTGCACAATAGCTTCGATCTCGAACAATTAGCGCTTGCATATAGGTGTCTACCTGCCATCAAATCCCACTTCGAGGCCGGGATAAGCCTGCCAACGACAGGGTCGGGGCACACCTCTACTCTGTCAACTGCCCCGCGGAGGCTGCTTATTCCGCCGCCGCGTTTGATTCCGCCACCGCGTTTAGTGGTTACATACATATATTTGGTCTTGATTTTCTGCGCGCATATAGAGGGAGTTCGACAACCTTCTCCTTCAGGGAATTTCACTGGCGGCATGGCATGTGCTCTCGTCTTGTATAAAGTTTGTTTGTGTGTGTCGATGTTGTCGCGGCCGTTTTGAGAGACCTTAAGGTTGCTAGAGGCATAGACAGATGGTAATGGTAGACCGAGCTTTGACAGAAAGAAGCGTCTTTCGCGTGATGTTGCGGCAGCGTTGTGTTATGTTGTTCGTTGGTTTGCAGAAAGACCATTCTGCAGGTCAGCTTTGGGGCGACCATCGACAAAATATGCGATGATATCAAAAAGCATCATCTACACCACCATTCTTCGTGCATTGACCACATCCTTATCCACCTTCTCACACCTGCAGCAGCGGACACCACATCAAAAAAACGACTTCTAGGGGACCAGCCGAGTTGCCCGAGGCAAGCTGCGATACAATGGAATACTAGTCCTGCATGTTGGCAGTACAGGTACAAGCTGAGTCGGTCCTAAACACCCGCAGTATTCTGTGTGTATTGCGGAACTGCTTCAAAACTCTTCTATCAGTATTCGCGCACCTCAGGAGACCTTCCCAGTGCGCGGGGTCGTCCTTCATCAGCTGTGCAAGCTCCTGGGCACCAAGGCTAGCAGGTGCTCCAGCAACCGGATCGTTGGGTTCACCAGGGTCTCCAGCACGCGCCCGCAGCAAGTGCTCGTTGGCCAGAGCTCCTGCCGGTGCAACAAGGAAAACGATATACGTCAACAGAACGTCGCCATTGCTGTTCAACTGGCTAGGGCCTTTCACATGGCATCACGACGAGGTTTGTACGGTCACGGATACTTGGGGAAAACCAACATGCCTCCAGCTACGAACGCGCCATGCGTTGTGCCGCATGCACCAGCCCGTTTATATCGGGCGATCGTGCCACAAGTGATGGCTTTCAACCAACGCCTCGGAATAGAGAGGGGTCACGACCTTAACAAAGCGGTGGTTTTGAAGCGCACCGACAAAAGAAGCTGCCCACGCCCTCGAAAACGACCGCGACTCACGAGACCCTAGACCAATAACCGAAGCTTCAGGAATGAAAGGCAACACCAGAGGCACACCACAGGACCTCGACCGATCTCGGCCATCCTCGTCTTACCTGGGGCGGGGGGGAAGGAGTCCAGCAGCACCAATCCAGAGGCGGAGTACGACTGCAGGTACTGCTGGCACACGAAACCCTGGGGGCACGAGAAAGCGAACGTTTGCAACTGAAACAACATAGAGCAGAAGGTTATTAGGAACACAGTATCTCCCCACGCGAAAACGGCAGAAGCCCGCACGGGGGGCGACGGAGTGGCTATGCTTCCTCGAGGGTGGTACCTAAAAAAAAGAAGCAAAAAAATGTGGCGGTTCCTGCGCCAGACATGCTAAGTGCGCACGCGAACCGCCCACAGGATGCGGTGGCCTCCAAACCAAGCCCAACGCGACGACTTCACGGGCATGAAATTCCCGGTGGCTCTTACGGCTGGAACCCGCTGCAAAAAATCGTGGTTCTGCATCTTGGATCAAGAGCGGGCCACCTCGTGCCCGGCAACGTGCACAGGGTGCACCACTCACCGCCATGGAGTGGGCCACGATGACCGGGGGTGTGAGGCCGCTCTTGTCTACCGCTGCGGCGACGCCGGCTTGGAGGGCTCTGAGGGTGAGGGTGTCTGTCGGAGAGCTCCCTCTTCCGGTGAGAGCCATGGTCCCTACGGTGCACCCTCTCGACGCAAAGAAGGAGGTGGTATCCTTCCACCTGCCCTGAATGAACGGTCGACCAACAGCAGCCAGCAATGACGCAGCAGCAGCTGCTGCAGATTAGCACCTTGATGGTGAACAACACGTGCTCCCAATACATCAAATGAACTCTTGACTTGGGGAGAGATCTGAACCGCTGCAAACGAATGAGGGTATCGTCGGCACCCCGATAGAGCCGACCCGTAGACGCCAAGTGCGAGGGGAAAAGAAGCCGAAAGCAAGAGCTAGGCAACGGCTTGCCGAACACGCTGTTGCTGGTGCCGCCGGGGCGGTTCTGTAATTCTACGCACAAGAACAAAGATTCAAGGGAAAGGGGGAGATGGACACCACATCTAGAAGAAGCAATTTGGCACGAACACGTTCTCAACAGGGCAACAAACCAACATCAAGCAGCACCACCACATCAGCGAAGCTGGCAGGTAGCTTCCTCCGAACGACTGCCATATCTACCGCACGTGCCCTCGCCGCAAAAACAGACCCTTCCGCACGCCGCGGGATGTATCACGCATCGCTCGAACAAACAAAAGAGAGCCGTGATTGTAACCACTCGCTTCTGGCTCGGCTCACCAGGCGGCCGGCCGACCTTCCCCCGCGACCAGGAGCAGGGGGGTAGGCTTCTCGAAGTACCCGTCGTCCAGGACTGCAGGGGGCACCGCAAAATCAATGGCGGGCGTCGAGCTGCTGCCGCTGCTGCTGCTGCACCGGCGACCATCCCCCCTCGCTGACGACGGTAAAGCCGGGAATCCTTGAGGATAAGGTATTCGCTGAGACAAGCAGCGTACAGCCACAGCAGTGACGGTTGCTTTTGCAGAGCTCCATTGGGCGGCTGCAGCTGCTGCTGCATCTGCCCGGCGCAGCATCGTGTGAGGATTGAACGGTTCCTGCTGGGCCCCGAAGCCTCACCTTGGACGTAACAGGAGGCGGGCAAAGGGCATGGTTGGTGGAAAACAGCTCACGGCGTCGTGACAAAAAGGATCCGCGAGGTGTATCATACAAGCGGGCTGCATAAACGTGGCAGCAGAGAAGGCTGCAAAATAAGTCATTGACAGTGACGACGATGGAGCTTTAGTGGACTTCCATGCCCATGTTGCTCCCGTTCAGTACCGGAACCGTGGAGAGGAAGCCTATTCCCGGTTGGAACCCTGGATGCTCCATCGTCAAGATGTTCAGAATGAGCGTATTCACATAATTTGCGCATTGCGGCGGCAAAAGTATCGATTGACTATTGTACGAAACAGACAAGGCCTCGTTCGTCGCTGCCCGATTTCGACAACGAGCACCGGAGCTGCACGAAAGGCAGTAAACCATTCGCATCTTGCTGCTGTTGCTGCTGCCGTTCTTGTTGTCTTGACAGTGGATACCGCAACCAACTGGCTTGATATTTCGATCTCCAACGCATTTGTGTTTTGCAGCACAGCGGTAAACGATGACGAAACACGACGGACCACAACCAACGCTACGAAAGACCAGGGCAGAGCCACCAAGGCAGCAGTATCATTTTACAACCAGAATAATAGCGCTCAGAGCAATGCGTTTACGGTCACACGTACGATATCCTTGGGGGCAGTCAAGCCTAACCATCCCCTGTTCAAGGACGCGCCTTTCTCCCTACAACCAAGGAGTGCATGGGAGTGCCCACCCCCCCCCCCCCCCCCCCCCNGAGAGGAGGGAGAGAGCAACGGGGAGAGATGGACGTAAACAACACCCGTGGAAATCCGATCGATTGTAACCACAACTCCTCCGGAATTCCGAATAACACAGGGAAGCGTTTCAGCGAAACCCCGTGATGCGGAACGCCTTATTGTCTCCAAACCCGGCCGAAACCCGCCAAACAAAACCCGCGAGCTTTCCCCAATTTTTTTGAGAGGGTAGAGGGCGGCAGCTTGGCCGTGGCGTGGACGTCACACCAACCCCCCCCAAGTGTTGGACGGCGAGCTCCCCCGGGTCGGCAGAGGTCCAAGGACTCTCGCGCCGGCCCGGAGAATACCTCCTAACTTAGGGTTAGCAGCGGCTTCCCGGAAACGGGAGACCGCTATCGGGGCGGGAAGGTGGCGGTCGGCCGGGATGGAGTGTGGAGAGAGAGGGCTTCAAGGTCTCATCACCGCGCTAGTATGTGCTTGGTATCTCAAAATGCTGACATAAACGCTGTTGCTCCAAGCCAATAGTGCTTTTAATTGTGTAAGTGGTGCATAGAGGATGTAGCAAGCCTTCTGGGCGATGTACGTGGATTACTCTGGTGTACAACCATTTCACACATCAAACGCTGCTGCTTTTAAGTCTATGCGCAACTGCCCTCCACCAAACTGCTATACTGTGTTGCGGAAGACATCACCCCCCCCAGGTGGGCAATCCAACCCAGTACAGCGAAAGAGAAGCATCGGAAGCAGGGGGTTGTGCGAGGCATCGTAACCTGTCTTCTGTTGTAACTTTCAAGTCTACATGGTATAATGTAGTAGGCACCATGGTACAGTACAGCCGCAGTAGCCCCCCGTGCGCTCTGCCACCAGCTCATTTCGCTACATCTGCAACACGTGGTGTTCAATGCAGAAGAGCCATCTCCCATAGGCGGGCGTCCTCTCCTCGAACTTGCAGAAATTATTTTCAGGCTCACGAAGCGCAATGCTGCTGGGATCGTTTTTCCTCAAACGGTGAACGGAAACAAAGCAAAACCAAGCACGCCATGTCTCTCTATGGCTCACACACTACAGCCGGTGCTGCAGCGTGTGTTGAGAACAGCGGTATTGGCGCCAAGTTCAAATACTCTCGAGCTCCATTGATGCAAGTTTGCTGGCTGGTACACACTCTCCTTCTAATACATGCCAGAATCATTGCTCACTTGAGGGAGGTACTCGCTGGGTCGACCAACCACACCCACAGTTCCAGCTACCGTGGGTAGCCGTCGTGCCGAGTCGAGCAAGTTGTGGGCTGGTTAGCCGTTAGCCGCTGACAGTCGCTGGTGTGCTGAGCTGGGAGTTTGTTGCTGTATGAAAGGCATTTCTTTCGCGCGCGGCAGGTTTTTCGTTATTCCTCCGCATTTGCTGTGCTTCTCCTGGGCCGAGGGCGAGTTGCTTCTGCGGCACAAGCAACAAGCACTGATGGGGACACGGAGGAGGTCAACTGCTCCTCGAGGGCGAAGAAATTCTTCCGCCCAGAGCCAGCTCAACCGGCGACAATCCCAGTGGAGTGTTCAGGCGGAGAAGAAGCCGACGCTTGCTCGGTGGGCTTGGATCAGCGCTGGTTGCCTGTTGATCTTGGGCGTCTCGCTGCGCTTGGCGACTAGTAATGCCAAGACCGCAGTCGTGCCGGTGCTCAAGCACGACGAGGCGGCGTGTGCTGATGGTTGCTGGGTGAGCAAGAGAGGGAGAGAGAGATGAATAGCCTGGAGGTGGCTGTAGGAAACGGATTAACAAATGCAAGGAAAGAGCAGCAGCGGGGCCATGTTCGAAGGTTCAATTCTATCTCAAGAGGAACATACACAGCAGTGTGGCACATAGGATGCATGGCCACCTACACAAGGCACCTGAAACCCTCAGCGTGTGTGTGTGTGTGTTTTCGTCCTATTTATGATGGCGACAGTCCCCCCATTTTTCGTGGTGAGACGTGTAATACACTTTTCAGGGTATGTAGAGTACTACACTTTTCAGTGTATTTTTTACAACTACAACCATCCAGAGGGGGTAAACACCAGGGCTTCTTTTTTTTTTTGTTCTTAGTATCACACAACAAATCCATCTCTATCTATAGAAATAAGTCTAAGATAGATTAGCAATGAATCCATAGCATGAGCGAAAGGCTACCTGTATGTCTACGGTTTCCCAGACAGCATACAACGATATCTCCCCTATGGGTAACAGGCTCAACAAGGCAGTTTGGTAGCCATCTTGCGTATCTAAAAAAATTATCTGTATTTTTTTTTTTTCTCCCATCATCGCCCCCCCCGCTGTTTGCCATCGGGGTTGGGTTTTCGTCGCTTGGCAACGACGTTGTAAAACAAGCCGCCCCCCCCGGTGTTTGCCATCGGGATCGGGTTTTCGTCGCTTGGCAACGACGTTGTAAACAAGCCAATTCACTTCGTGGGCTCGGCAACCAGGTTTTTTTTTTTTTACCTCCGGTGTTTTTTTTTTGCGGTAAACATACTGGTGGTCGAGTAGATCATGTTGTGCGGGGTGGAGAACCCTCACTCCGCGCAAGGGGGATGATCGCACCACGTTGTGTTAAAATGGTCAAGCACCCTCGAGGCAGTTACACAGTGCTTACAACTGTCTC